TCTTCATCCCTGTTTCTATGAACGAGTCCCCTCTCGCAAGTCGCAAGTCGCAAGATGGAACCATGCTGCCGACGAGCCGACGATCCTAGATTACAGATACGGTCGTTCGAAGAACCATGTTCACGCAAAGCTGTCGTGTCGCACCACGGGCAGGTCAGAGACCGTTGCTATTATTACCGGGAAGTTCAGCCTCCGGCGTATCTTTCGTACCGGGTGTTGCAAACAGCAAATTACCCGCCGAGATAGACCCCAGGATTCGACATCGTAGCTGAATCCTGAATCCTGACGGCCGACGGGTGCCAACCGTCAGAACTACAGTGGTTGCGCCATTTGACGATCCCGCCGCGCCTTCGTTTGATGGCGGATCCGGGAACGACTACTATGATGGCTTGCGGCACAATATGATAAACATCATATGAATGTCGTGTATCCAAGTGAGGAAATCCGTTCCCAAAACTATGGGGTTGATGGTCAATATTCTCTATTTCCCGGGTTAATCTCGCATGCTGTAGCACCGAGTTTGATTTGCTCGTGGCACAATGTGTACGGTCGTTTCGAGATCCCTGGGAGTGGAGCGCTCAATTGGGCTCTCCATGATCCATCCCTTGCGAAGTTGCGATGGAGCAGCAAGAAAATTGCAGACGGTCTCGACTCTCGACCACCCTTTGGTTGTCGTGTTCCAAGTGAAAGCCTCGGGACCAAAGTTGTGTCCTGTGCAACCACCACGACCCGATGGACCTGGAAATCGTTGAGGACTTTCTAACGTTTCTATCAAGGGATTAGGAAAATTCTTCACCATAATATGCGACAAAAGCAAACCCTGGAAAATGGCTTTCTTTTTCGAGATTTCCCACCTCCTTGCTTGGCCAGTGCGGCCGAAGACCAACAGACGCATCTCGGGTAGATCACAGCATGCAATATCCTGTAGCCTGTCCGGCTGCTGTATGTACAAGCGGAATTAAACTCGCAGTGCAGCGGGGCAGGACACAGGAACTGCAGATCCCCATGGTCACCTTTACCTGTCTCATTTGCTGGGTCATCTTCTCACATCCCATAATGTGTTCACGGGAAACCCAGGACCTCTATCATGCAATGCATTGACGGATGCCGCCGATGAAACCGCCGTGGACCAGGACGAAGCCATCCGGACCAAATCCCTTAGTTAACATGATTAGAACGGCTCCGTGGGATGGCTGCATTCCTTCAAACGCTCAGATCCCGATCTCGAGGCGGCCTGCGGGGCATCTAGTTCCGGGCTTGCGGATATTCTCTTTCACCTCGATATCCAGGATTCGACTGCCATTTATCGACTATGGTCTTTGTGGATGGGCACGCGACGCAAGGAATGCCTGCTTCATGTGTCACTTTTGGTGTGTGAAAAGGAAAATTTGTTCACGTGGAGGAACAGCCAACTGAAGCCGCAGTCGCACAGCATCCATTTCACCCATCAACATGTCCCTGGGTTCATTTTCAATGCGAGCATATCCGAGGTCAAATTGAGACAATGCCTCATGAGCATTCAATATGACTCTCATCCCTAGCATGGAGCCGAGTTGCTAGTACATTGTCTGTCGAAACTAGTCGAACGGGACCGAAAAAGTCCTAGTTAAGTTATCCTTCAAAGGTATTGGGTAGTCAGATGACGTGACATAATTTATTCTTAAAGACAGCTAGAACATCAAGCAAAAGTCAAAAGTTCAAACTTCAGAGAGTTGGTTTATTGAGGGCTGGCGAATGGCGACCACTGTGCTGGTATCACTCAACCATCATTCCACCGGATACACCGACCACCCAATTATTGAATAGGAACACAAGCACCACCCGTTGCTTTCGGGTCCCAAGGTGCCAGAATATTACCTATATTTGTCCTAACTTTATTGATATTCCGATTTCGAGTTGTTTCAGTGTCATCATCAATAGATGTGGGGTGGAAGGTCAGCAGTGGAGACTTCGAAGTTCGAACTGAACATCAAGCTTGTTCCTTGCAGTCTGTCTCTGGGTCGGAAAGCTGCATTGGCAGATTGGCCTAATGGAATCATGGAAGCCGTTTAGTTATTCAATTGGCCAAGTTTCATATGCTTTCGAGCCGCCGTGCATGGCATGGCGGAGAGAAAAGCCTCGCTGCATGTCCCCATATCTTCGGGAACAAACCACGCTGCGTTGGTTCGGATCGGCAGACTCGTTCCTCCTCGTCCGTTCCCTTCCAAGTCACTTTCCCTACTTGGAGCTTCCAGGTGCGACATGCCGACATCAGAGGGAGGAGATAAACATAGCAACGTTGATAGGGCACGACATGGGCTCATAGCTCGAATTGGACGCTGATGAGGAATTCCAACACCATCAGCTGCAAGCAAGCGCTGCTGGCAACCACTGAGCCTTGTCGAGGAAGCGCACACGTCTCCTCAGCGTCTGCACTCTGCATCTCTGGCCAGGTGATCTCGCTGCGAACCTCGTGGTGATTATGTTCTGCTGGGGAATGCGAGTCTAACTGGATGTCACGCACACATGTTGTTTCATCCATCTTTATCGTGGCATTCCCTTCGCAAATGGATCTGATGTCTCAAACCTTCAATGCCAACTATCATCCACCAGACTCGAAGGCTCGGTGGTCATCGCTTCCCATAGTTGAATTCAGTTCTTTCGATGTCTCGGCCCCATCATCAACGTTGACCGGAACTCAATCAGGCAATAGACCCTGGTCGGCCAGAGCGATGAATCAACCAGGTCCGCCTGTATCCGTCTCTCGCTGATCCGATTTCCTCCAACCCGCTCTAGTGCAGAAGTCGCGATAGTCGAGGCTCAAGAAGCTGCCACGAACCAGAGAGCGGGATGGCGTTGGCGACTTGGAGGGGGTGGGCAGATTGATGAATGGGAGAGTGGGTCTGGACGGAAATGCCCCAATCACGACTGGCCACGTCCATGCCGCGAGCTGTGGGCTGTGACCGTTATCGGGGCGGAAAAGGAAAGCTCCCCAGCCACCTCTTTTCTATCCCCGGTTCTTTGCTGTCGAGAACCAGGATTCCTTTTCGTATAGCTGAGAGGGAGCGGGTGTGGAAGCCGGTGGCTGATGGAGATGATGTTCACTGGATGGCGGGGTCGAGACCTTGCGGACATGTGGGATTCGAGAGGCCCTCGAGGGCTTCGTCCGGGACATGGTCCGTTTGCTGCTGGACGTCTGACCTTCGGGTACTGTACGACCGGTTGGCAGACAATTGGATCGAGTTGTCGAGATCTTGGATCTCCCTGGATTCAGATTCAGATAGCACGATGCTCATGGCGAATCATTGTCTAGCGAGACGGTCATGCACACTCCCTTCGAGTTATAATGAAGCAGGTAATGAAGACACAACATCTCGATACCCCACACACTTCCCATGGGATTGGGTGTAGACCGTGTAAATTCCGCTTGGATTGGAGAAAAGCCTTAGGACTTCCAAGAGGTTGCCTAAGGGAGGCTGTTTACTAGTTACTGCGGTTAGTTGCTGAGGAATGATGCTGGAGGGATTCGAGTACGAGATCATCGATTGAGCAAAAACCCCGCATAAGATTCGTCCAACATGCTCGCTACATTCTATAATATTGAAGCCGAGCATCGAGATTCAAGAAGTCAACCATGAACCATCCCTGGCTTGCCACAAAAGAGCACAACGCCCGCAACCCGACTACCCCACCGTGAGCATCGAGTCGATGGCGAGACTTTTCCAATTCTTCACGAATCCCTCACCGCCCTTTTGGATGTTATCCCTTCGATTCGATGAAACAACCATCGAAGGAAGTTTGGGGACGGCTTGGTCGATTCCGGAAAACCCACCAGCCAATGGTTCATCCCGGGCTTCGTCTGTTCATACTGTCCTCCCCGTTCCGTCTCGGCTCGCTTTGTTGAGTTCCGGGAGGTTGGATGCACAAGATCAGCCACAATCACGAGTGATCTGGTACACTAGGACACGGACGGACTGTTGTGGTGCTCATCGTTGGCGATGGTGGTGACACGACTTCTCTCACTGCTCGATTGCCTGTGCTTCGGTTCCATATTGTTAATGAGTGACGGTGATGTGATAGAGTCTTGAGACGTTCGTATCATATGGATTATCGGATACTGTATCAACCTCGCATGTCCATCACCCCCACAGCCGTGTCCTCTCTTTGCTTGTCTCAATGGTTCCCATAAGATTCCGGATTCGCATGCCATCCCGAATCCCCAATTGTCTTGCCTGACGCAAGAGCAAGGATTTACGGGCACACATATTGTGCTGTACTCGGGTCGGTCCCGAAACACAAAAGCCGCAGGGATCGAGAACTTGCGTAACAAAGAAACCCACGCACAATGTACGCCTTCGCGCAGAGGACAGGTGAAGCATCTCGTCCCAAAATTTCCTGGACTTCAAACTTCGGGCGCGGGCAAGGGATCGAACGCCTTTGTTGCCCACCCTTCATCCGGACTCACTCTGGAACGCACTCTGGAACGCTTCTGCGAGCTGCCCCACGGTGGTTCTTGCGGGATGGTGCACTGCTCAATAGACTGTCATATGTACGACATGCATACTTGACATACCTACCCACTGACCTGCGTGCGCCATGTAGTATGTACCGTCCATGAGCTGTAATACGACAGTGGTACTTGACGGGACGGACCCATGACAATATGACATGTCTTCTTTCTCTTTCTTCCCTAGCATAATTTCGGTCAAGGTCCGCTGAACATCAGCAATGTCGGGCGCGGAATATTATCTTCCTTCGACGCATGATGTTTTCTGCTAGGGGATTAGGGATTGGTTTTCGTCTTGCTGCGGACCACGGGCCGGAGTATTCCGTAGATCGTTAGTGCAGGTGGGCTTATGCGGACGGTGCAGTAGCTTCGTTAATATAGAGAAGCATTTTTGTGAATTAGTTGTAATCCGATGTTCGAGAGTCGAGAAAGGACTGGAGCCCCTGAGACCAGTAGTTCGGTGAGATGTATCACAACTCGAATAGCATCGCAACGTATGGGAGTAGTTGTATTCAACCGCTAGTGATTAATGCCGTCGATATATGATGCTATAGTATGAGTTGATGTTCCCTAAGATATGCAAGACTTCATTAATACTGAGACGAGTGCGATAGCGCGAATAATTCAACTCATATATAGACGCTTAAGAAGAGACATGCAAAAGCGATTTAGAATCGAATAGGTCGTTCGCATGTACAGAATGTATAGTTGACTACCAACACTACTCCTTCTGTTTCTTCAAGAACCGTTGATCTGCTAGAACTTGCGAGATCATGAAATGAGAAACGTCCTCGTCGCTCCAATAGCTGAGATGGCTAGCAATGCTCGCAAGAATTGAGATGTCAAAAGCGCCTCTGAACGATGTTAGCAACGAACCTGTACCCTTGAATGACTGATAGGACTTACTCCTGAATGCTATAATCGACCCGCCCATTTGAATTCAGTGCCCTCACTTTCGCCTCCTCTTTCCTCAACCTCCTCGCCTGCTCCTCCATATCCGATTTCTGCTGCTTCTCATCCGCCCCGTCTGACACCCCGATGCTTACCGCTAGTTGCTGTTTCTGAAACCCAGCGTACAGTGTCTGCATGCCGGAGTCGATCAGCGTCGGTGGTCGCTCGCCATCTTCCCCCTCTTGTACCGAGCGCTCTAGCATCTGCGCAGCGAGGGCTTGTTCTGGCGTGAGGCCATCGGTCGGCGCACGTTTCAGACTTGGAGGCTTCTTCAGCGCCTTTTGCTTCGGCAACGGCTTCAACTGATCCTGGGGCTGGTCTTTCGCCTCTGAGCTCGACGCTGCAGACGGATCGATTTTATTCAACGGGTTCTTCGGATCTGCTTGCTGCGATGCCGGGTTAATCGAAGACGGAAGATGCGAGCCCAGCTTCCCCGCATTATCCGCAGTAATACCCAGGCTGCGATTCAGGAGGTTGCTGGCGATGTTGCTAGCGAAGCTGGTCCAGTAGTCGGCGACGCTCTGGCCGACGCGGGCGCCAATGCCTGATATCCCCTGGCTTGCGGGAGCACCGAAGATGCCTTTCTTCGTATATGGAAGCGGTTGAGGTTTCAGTGTGGACATGGCGGGGGAGATCAACGGCTCCAGACGATATGCGATGGGATCGGTAGGGTGGAAGACGTTGAACACACGGTTTACTCGTGGCGAGCTTCTTGTATTTTCGTGGAATGCACTCGATTTGCTTGTGGTCGACGTTTCTGGAAGGTCGGAGGTAAGGAACGGGTCGTCAAAAACACCGAACGGAGTTTGACTGGGCCTGGCATGGGGATGTGATCTGCCCACAATGGTTCGTCCTTTCAGCATCTGGAAGAGACCGATCGGCGATCCCAAGGCGAAGAAGTCTGAGACCGGGAAGTCGAGTTGAAGTAGGCGATCGCGTTCTTCGTCACGGGTTGATCGTCGGCGTCGAGGAGTGGTACTCTGACTGGCACGGCCGGCGCGGTCGTCTTTTTGAGCACAGAGGATGTCGAACATGATCGCAGAGCCGAGAGAGTGGCCAGCAAGGCTAACCTTGCCGCGGAACGTTGGGTTTCTCTCCTTGAAGAGCTGGTAGATGCGATTGACCTCCTGTAAAACTATTCGTGAGATGTGTGGCTTGTAGGCGGGACTCTGATATAGAAGAATATCGAGAGCCAGGTCGGTGATCAGGTTGCGCACTGCAGGAACACCGTCGACGGTTATAGACTCAAGATCAGGATACTCTTCCTCGGAGTAGTCGGATTCGCCCAAATCGTGTTCCTCGCGGTTGTGCCGGAGACTTTGTTTGGGGAAGTCGAGGAGATGTCGCCAGCAGATGGGGAGGACTTGGACTCGGCTATTCTTCAGATCCTTTTCTAAATCGGAATTCAGAGCCTGGAGGTCCGCTGAGTCATTGTATACTGTCTTGAGCGTCTTTCGCAAGGTATTGACGTCTTGAATGAAGTTGACACTCTCCAGTCGAAGCCCAAGCCTCTGGCCAATGCCATGGGTGACGAGAATAAGATGCTCAATCGGACGAGCCTGATCCTCATCGTCCTCCATTTTGTAGTCGTTCGTGATCTCTTTCTCTTCCTGCTTCCGGATCGCCTCCTCTTCATTCGCTGGGACACTCGGATTCGTGACAAGATTTGACAGTTGTCTTTGTAGGTTTTCCCTTCTCATCTCATGCGGCGATTTATTATTTTCCTCTCTCTCTACAGCCACGTCTCCAGAAATATCCGTCTCTATCGGCTGAACTTCAGGCTTTTCGGTGGATGCTGGCTGCGTCGACGAATCCTTCCCACCCTTCCCATCTTTCGGATCTTTCAGCTCTTTCTTTAACGCGGATTCATAACCCCTGACAACTTTGGTGCCGGCGAAATGGCCTCCCCCGGCGAACCTCTCGTATACTGAGCTGCTCAATTGCACTAGGAAATCATCTGTGATAATCCATGCCGTTATTGCATCTTCATACGTGACAACTGACTTCATGTGATCGCCAAAAAGTCGTACCGTGCGCTTGGAGGCGGGGTTTTCGCCGCCAGCGTTCTGTTGTAGTTCGGCCACTGCCTCCTCCTTTTTCGCGTTATTGACTTCCTCCTCCTTTTTCGGGGGGTCGGAATTTGTCCTTATTCCGCGATTCTTCAACGGACCATCTTCAACCCTGATAGACGTAGGTCTCAATTTCGTTTGCGAGGATGCCTTTTCGGTCGCCGCTTTTTTCAACGGAGTCCTCCAGGGAGCAATCTTGAGATATCCCTGTTCGAGTTGGGTAGCCAAGTTCTCATCGCATGGCCGGGGACCGGAGCTATCGACAAAAAACCACGAACCGCGTCGCACGTCGTACGCAGGTCCCAACCAGTATGCAGGAGCCAGCTCGCGCTTTTCTATATCGACATCGAACAAGTAGTCCTCATTCACTGGCACGGTACCCTTCGGCGACTCGTTCGGATTTTCCGCTGACACGCTTCTTAACCGGCCAGGGGTTCTCGTTTCCTCCTCGTCTGCTAGCCTCTGGAATGACGCTTCGATGGACCTGGAGTCACTTGCGGAAAAGGGGGTGTATTTCTTCGGGACCTGGGGCTTCTCATTCGGGGCCGGTTCTGTAGTGAAGGGTTTACGTTTTGGTGCCTTGATCCAGTCAGTGATTAGGGGTCCGTTAATCAACTTATAGGGGAGTGTCCCTTACATCTACAGCATGATACCATTGTGCCGTCAGCAGAGGACAATCCTCCGGGTACACCTTTCTGCTCAACCAATGTAGCCGATTGACAATATGATCACCCCCTTTCTGGAGCCCCTGTGCCTGCGGCTCACCCGCCTGCACCGCTCCTTCTGAGCTCGTTTGTGCCTGTGGTTTGGGCGTCGCGCTTTTCGAACCCCAAGGTGATAGCTGCATTAAGCTCGCGGGAATATATGAGGCCGAGGTCGGCCTATCTTTAGGGGGCGTCGCCATTATCGGCGTGCCGGCCAAGCCGGCTGTGCGCTCTTTTTGCCAAAGAGAGGGAGGAATTGGTGATTTGGCACGCGGACGCCAGGTTGCGGGGAGACGTTGGGGGAGGAGTCGGGAGAGGTGGGAGTGGGCCAACGTGGCTGGGGTGATGGACAATGTGGGATTGAGTGCTGTTGACAAAACGACGCTACATTGACGAATGATAGGATTGAGGACCCCTAAGCGTATTAAGTATCCGAAGCGTTATCTGTTGTTGTCGCGTGTCCGTAATATCTAATCCCGATATCGTGCCTGGATTACGATATGCCAGGATGCCGAAATGTTTGATCGAGTGACGTCGACCCTGTGGCTGTGCACGAGCAGTGGCTTGAACATTCAAAATTCACCCAGTCACGTGTCATATCATACACCTGACGATACCTGATTTCGAGTGAATCTTATCTTTCGGTACTGCTAGTTAGTTGTACCTAATTTAATTTATTTACGGGAGGGATATCCAGATATTCCCTCCTTACTCACTATATGCATGTAAAATATCACGCAATTCATAATGGCTGGTCAAGCCTCTGGAGGAGAGGATGGGTGGATCTCGGAGGAGTCCAACTTTTGTGGTTCGCTATATTAAGCCCCGTGTCACATCCCCTGATAATGTGGATCTCTAACACCAAGAGCAGGGGATGAGGAAACGCGGGAAGCACTTGAACAGCAGATCCGGAATTCCAAGCCAACGGAGTTCCTCGACGTTTTCAAACGATACCCAAACAATCTCGCTGCGAGAGTCACCTCTGAAAATGAAAATGACCAGGTGAGTATTGGAGCCCTGTTGTATGGTCACGCAGAACCATGTTGCTTATCATCATGAATAGAAAGCTGCGAGCGACGCAAAGCCGAACCAGTGGTTCGAAGGCGACAAAGCCCATCGTCAGCCTAACGAGACGGTCAAGCGGTTCCTCAAGCGCATGCCGCCGCTGACCACTGTTGGATCGACTGTTCTCCCATGGCTCTTCGTCGATGGCCCCGACCCTCATGTCGACGAGAGCACCGAAAGGGATCTCGGAAAATTCACCGAACTTGGCGTCGAGCTGCAGAATCAGTTCATGGAACAGAAGAGGAGAGCCGAGACAGCCGATCCGAACCGGCCAAAGCAGACCATCACCAAGATGCTAAAGCCGGATCGCGATGCGTTGGTAGAAGGAATCCGAGCCATCGCGAAAGAAAATGGCATCCTATTCGGCAAATGGATGCTCTTCCCGCCGCTGGAAGACCTCCCCCGCATCTGGCGGAAGGTCTGCGAAGGCGTGATTGCCGGGCAGCTGGGGCCGCAGGCAAAAGTCGCGACGGCGGACTTCGAAGGAGATCCGAAGATACGCGTCATATGTATCTACACCAAAGACTTCGACAACCAGGATGATGTGCTGCGGGTGCTGCTCGGCCTGAAGGACTTGGGGATCGTGTCGGAGACGGATTCAAGGGGGATTTACTACAAAGCAGACGCGTATACCTACCTTGACATCAAGTCGGACAACCCGTTCGGGATTCGGGCAAGTATGTACTCCAGTCGAGACGTGTTGAAGGCCAAGGAATTGAAGCGGGGGAGAGCCGACACGAACGGGATGGGAGGGAAAACGGGGAAGAAGCAGGTGACATTGAGCCAGTTTATGAAGTAAGAACTGATGAGAAGTTCATGACGGATCATATCCCGGCGTTAGTACCAGTGGGTTTCAGTTCTATACCGACGAGCGCCGTCTGCAGCGTTTCCAGTGTTGAGGTCGTATAGAAATTTACGCGTCTGTACAGCTTACCTGGATCTTGCGTGCGTTGATCGGGGTCGATAATGGCAAAGGCCTAAAATTTGGGCAACCTTGTTAACTTGCCTCGATTCGTCCATGAGTTGAGTCATCCTCATTGTTCGGCCAGGTCTCCGGCGTCTAAGTGAATAATGCTGTGCCATGTCATTCACATAAGCCATACTACGTACTACGTAGTAGAGTGAGAGGTTGGCGGCACCAAACGCTTGAGTGGAGGATCCAACAAGATGGAGACTGAGATAAGCACAACGCAAAAGCAAAAATTTCTACCAACTCCTCGAAGATTAAGCTTTGGTATGCGAGACACCGCAACCCCCTGCTCGATTGGTTCAACGACCATGCGATATGCAGTCGACAAAGTCCAGACAAGCGAGACAGGGAACCCCCGTCCCATCCGCATCCAGCAAAGATGGCTGAACTGACGATCGTGCGGAACAACGAACGACGATTCGACTCGTCAGACCGCGGCAGGAGCGCTCCAACGCCCAGTGAAGTGCGAACACGACACACGCCACCTCCAAGTCTCCAGGACTCAACTGGAACCATCAGAATACAAGGTGGGGAAAATGAGATAAGATCAGAGAGGTCACGAAAACCAAGCAAACGACGGTCGGGAACATGCCCTTTCATAGTTTCATTTCCAAGGCCAGTCCTCCGGGTGGATCGTGGGACGCCATACCGCAGGTGGCTTGAGCCTGGAGAGTTGAGAACGGATGAATGGATCCGTATTATGGATGCGAATTAAGCGTTGGCGTTGGTGGTGGACTGGTGGTGGTGTCTGATGCCCGCAAGCCGCAAGGCCGCAACCATGCAGAATTGCAGATGGCGCCGGCCCGCATCCTTGCTGGCTTCGCGTCCATGTGATGGGTCTGGTTTCTTTTTTGATTGCGAGGAAAAGTGCGGGGCGATTAATTTGGGGCTTTTGGGAATTGGGGGGGTTTGGCTACCGGACTTGGTTAAGACTGATCGGTTGGGCTGCTGATTATGGTTGGAAGGAAGTTGCTGGTTGTTGGAATGATTCGCCTGGTACGGAATACAAGCCAACAGTTGCTCACTGAGTTGTCGACTGGTCGTGTGCTGCCGAGTCTGGTGAGCGGAGCGGAGTGTAGCGGGAGTGCTGATGTTCCTGTTAGAGGTGGAGTGGGATAAGCGGCGGCAGTCCGGCACACCATACAGCGGAGAGCCAAGACCCCGGTAGACGGTAGTGCAGCGGGCCCCCTCTTAGCCCTCTACCATTGCATCCTCCACGCGGGAAACGCAGGTGCAGGGAACGTGAAAAAACCGTCCAACAACGTCTGGTCTTTGGCTTCCCCGTCTCCCCCCCCAAGTCCCCAAGTCGCTTACCCAGTGGATGACCGACGAGCGACCAGCGACAATATCCGATCCGGCTCGAGTCGCACCCACCTCCGATCGAATCGTATTGATTGATCGTAATTATGGATGCCTATGCGAGTGATTTCCCGCAGCACCAACCCTTGCCGTTCAATCATGGTCCGCCGCCGCCTTTCCCTCAGCCCATGCCTGGTGCTGCCCAGTCGTACAATCCCAACTTCCCCCCCTCGACCCCAATGATGCATCCTGCTCAGCAGCAGATGCACTATCTCCACCAGCGCGGTACGTATTGCTACCCACCCTTCGGTCCCGAGACGTTTAAGCATGTCGTCCGCTGCCGCATCCGCGTGCCTGGGCGTTTTAGCTACCGGGAGCGTTGGAGGTTGACCGCCCTAGCTGCGTGTGACGGCATGATGGCTCCTTCGATCCGCTCATCCAGGCCTCTGGGACATCGAACTTCCAAATCGGAGGCAGCGTAGTTCGCAGATCGACCTTGAAACTAACATGCTCTCATTCAGGAACCGTCCAGAATCAAGCGTTTTTGCCGCAACAGCAGCCCCATCCACCGTTTTCGAGCCCTCAACAGGTCCCTCTCACGTCACAAGCATTCATACCGTCGAGTTCGCAAGCGCCTCAATATCCCCCGTCTACGCAGCAGCAATTCCAGCACTTCCCTCCACCTACGGCGCCGCAATTTCCTCCGCATTCGCAGCCACCCCCACAGTCTCCCGCCCACATACACCAACAGCCCCCTCGACCACAACAGCCGAGTCCACAATCGATACCGCTCCAATCGCAACCTCCGCTGAATGCGCCGTCATCCCGAAACACGACACCTATATCGACCGCAACCGCGCAGTCAGGCTCCGTGCCGGGGCTAGTGGAGGGCGGCAAGATGCATCCGAGTCAGCATACTCCGACTCAATCATCCACCCCTCAGCAGCACACGCCAACTGCTCAGAAACCAGGCGGTCCTACCACTCCTCAATCGCCGAATGGCCCGTTGCCCGTGGATCGAAAGCTCATGGAGCAGAGAATCGAAGCCCTGTTAGAGATCAACGGGGAGCTTCTCCGTGAAATGATCGACCTCCAATCCCAGGGGAAAGGAGGCGGCATGCCACCCCCTGCGACCCACGACGCGGAGAAAAAGGACGACGATAAGTTCGCGTCGCCGGAATTCGTCGAGTGCGTATATCCCCCCTCCGACAACCACATCCTCCCAATTCTCAATCCACACCGCTAACCTCCCTAGACTCATGAAACGCTTCCAAGCCAATCTCGCCTGGGTCATCTTCTGGCACGAACGCGCCACCAACAAAGGCAAACCCGGCCAACAAGCACCCCCTGGCCCCATGATCATGACCCCGCCGGCCGGCTACGACGCCATCGCCGAGCTGTACGCGAAGATGGTCCCGCTGTTCAACGGCTGGAAAGGCCCGACGCCGAAGCCGCCGGTGCCGCAGCAGCAGGGGACGTCGAGCCCGCAGACCGCCATGTCCGCGCAACAAATGCAGGCGCAGCGCGCGAGGATGGCCGCGCAGATGCATGCGCAGCAGGCCGCGCAGATGGCGCAACATCAGGCCGCGCAGCAGCAAGCCCAACAGCAGGCGCAATTACAGGCGCAACAACAGGCGCAGCAGAAACAGATGCAACAGCAGCTGCAGGCACAGCAACAGCAGCAGCAACAGCCGCCGCCGCCGCAATAGCGAATCCTCATCCGAGGATCTCGTATGACGTCTCTGGGATTGGAGTCTGAAACGATGGAACGAGCGTCGTGTATATACCTATTGGACCTACGGGGATGGTTTTTTTGGCACTGCGAATCTTTGATGCGGGACCCGGGATGGATGGAGTACATGTTATGCAACAGCCGATGAGCCATGCCGCTGGGCATGGTTATACAATGCTCGGCGAATTTGATAGTACGGACAAGACACGACACTTTCGGTAGCGGTATATCATGATTGTTCGGAATAATCGGCTGTGGATGAGGGACTTGTTTCGTATGGTCCTATTTGGACGACTGGTTGAGTTCTGTGTCTCATGCGTTCGGTAAGGAGACTCGGTGGTGTAGGCAAGGTAGGAATTATAACAGTCTGTTCGACCTACCGGTACGGAGTATATTCCTGCCAATCCTTCGCTTACATCGGCCAGTAATTCGATTTCTCGGGGTCCGGTTTATACGCATAGCCTCCTATAGTACTCGTCCAAAACCCCCGAACGTTGTACAGATATGTTGCTCCTACTATACCTATCCATGGCCAGTACCCCTATTCTGTATCAATTGTTGAATTGCCTTGGCATACTTTCCACCTCACTCGAGGTGGGGCGAAGGTAATATGGCAGCAACAATGTCAACCCATCTCGCACCACTATCGCCCACATCACCAGCATCAAGTCGAAACAACTCCCAGGCTCATCTTGGTTTCATATCACTACCGTCCAGCAGGATGATTTAAAGACAAGTTTGCGAACCCCTTCTTGCTACCCATCCACCATGTCTCCATATGAACCCTCTATCCAGGTTACGCCCAGTTCTTGAACTGATGCTCCGCGTAATCCGGCAATCCACCCTTAGTCGTGAACTTCGCCTTGACGCTGTCATCACCCTTGAGGTGCCAGTTCAACCACTCGACGGCCTGAACCGCCCATTTACCGCCATTTGGTTGCGACATCGTGCCCTGGTGCCCGACGTTCTGACTGAGCAGCACCGCCGGCGCAGCCGTGAGGGCGTTGAAATCCGCGAGTCCCTAGAATCAAGTCAGCAAATGCGGTCTAAGATGCCGAACCGGGGATTCAACGCCCTACATTCCGGTACGCGATGTCGCGGCTGCCACCGAGGAAGTAGATAATCGGGGTTTTCAGTGTCGCGGCAAGCTGGCCCCGCAGGTCCGCCGCATCGCCCAGCAGCCCGCTGTTAAAGATCACGGTGGTCTTGACACGCGGATCCTGCGTGGCGGTGTACGCTTGCATGCCGCCGCACGACTGGCCGGAGGACGCGACCTTCGTGACGTCTACCTGAAGCGTCCCGCTCTGGGCCGCCTCGGCCGCCCAATTGATGCCATCGAAGATGTCGGTGCTCGTGGAGAACGTGACCTCGTCGTTCCCTGACCGTCCGTTGGCAATAACGACGTACCCGTGCGACGCAATCTCTGTTAGAAGAATGCCGTGCGTCTGACCCAGGGCGAGGCAGCCGCCGTTGCCCCACACGATGAGGGGAAACTTGGCATCCGCTGGCGGCTCCTTTGGCGCGTAGATCGTGTGGTTAGCGAGGCTGGGGTCTTCGTACCATCCGGCCTTGTATTGACCTGAGCCTCCGGAGGCGTCGACCTCGACCGGCGGTTTCAGTCCGCCCAACAGCGTCTGCAGGAACCCCCCAACACCAGTGGTCTCCCCACCATTGAAATCGATGAAATTGGGGGGGTACTGGGCGGCGGCCAGAGTGGCTAAGAGTGTGCTTGCGAAGACAACCCTCATTTTGGAAAGCTCGTTCTCGTACACCGAAAGGAATGTCAGAATAGCGAAAGGGGATTTGTCGGTGGATTCTGTACAAACGTTAGAGAGTCAGTGAGAGAAGAGCTTTTTATATCTCGTGTCCTTCGACGATGACTATCGGAAATGCCAGATTGGTTTAGCAGACGCAAATGCTGGCTGGACACTTCTTGAGTGTCTCGACCAACCCGTTTCTACGTTGGATGACTTTCAGTAGATTAGGGCTGGACACGAATAAGGAATTTGGCTATTCGTATTCGACTTTTCCTCTTGAACGATTACTCGCATTCGACTTTTCCTCTTGAACGATTACTCGTATTCGACTAAGTTTTGAGACGTTTTATTCATATTATTCGCGAATATTCGTGTCCAGCCCTACTGAGTAGATTGGATATTGAGGTCTCTCGGAATTTCCGAGCGAGATCCCTACTCCGGGAACTCCGACCTTAATAGTCGCGATATTGATTCGGATAGCGGACGGGACTTGCATTATGCCGTCCGATACATGTTATCAAACTCTTGAGATTTCATTCTCTTGAGATTTCATTCTCGCTAGGCATTCCCAGTGTAATCCACACGCCAATATCAGATCAATAGTGCTCAGTATTCTCCTTTGCATCGGCACTCATCCGAGGCTGGCTGCTTAGGATCCAATAACATTTCTACATACCTCATCTCTATACAATGTCACCCCTACTTAACCCTTGAATCCCACTGGCACTCACATCTTGCTCCACGTCGTCGAGCCACATGGGAAAATTCTCGTCAAAGACATTGAATTCAAAGTGAGGATCGCTAAAACCATCGGCTAACCATGGAACTGAAGGTTCTAGCGGAGCTGAAGCTGTTTGCGATCCTGATCCTCCATCCATTTGGCCGGCGAGGAGTTCACCGACCAGCTCACGGGCGAATTTCCCAATATTTCGAGCCACTCGGCACTCCTCCATGGCTCCAAGGATTTCGATGGCTTGATTTATGTATAACAAATTTGCCGAATATGGGCGTGTCGTCACCGGTTCGTGATAAAACGCAGACAAGATGATTGATAGGCCGAAGGTGAGGTATGTTGTATTATTCCACCTGTTCCGAATCGGTCCGTTAGTTCTGTTTCATACGTTGACTTCTTGACATACCAGGATCGGAAGAAATGATGCATACGGTATGCCGAGTGAATGGACTTGATGATGTCTACCGCGGCATCTTTACAATTTTGGGCGTAGGCGGTGAGCCGTTCCACTTCTTTTCCGTTCCGGAGGCCCCTTTGCCCATGTAGGAAGAACAAGTAGAAGAGGACGATTCGTGCATGTAAATATCCTAGGGATATTAGCTCAAGGTGCTTGGAAGCTGGTGCGTTCAGTGGAATGAGGACTTACTCAAATTGAGCACGAGCATTTGCAACTCTGGCCAGCAGTGGTTGTCGAGCATCAAGCGTGGATTTGTTGTTTCCGAGCGCGAATTAGGTCGAATGTTGGCTGGAAGTCGCGCTAGCCAAGTGCTCAAATCGTGTTCGTACTCGCTGGCTCTTTGAAGTTTCTCTGAGAGACCAGTGGGTTCCCAGTAGATGTTCTTTGAGATTTGTCGCAGGATTCGAGACAGCCCGAGCATTGCTGGGATAATGGTAGTTTCCGTCTCGTTGGGTTCGCTGATCGATGGCGGCAGTCTGTTGTGGTAGGAGTCCAATCCGAGTATGTCGGGTCTACTTATGTTGAAGCTAGACTCCGTTTCCAAGGAATAGAGGGCCCACCATGTTCGAGATACGACAAGACTGGGAGAGTCCTGTGGAAAACCACGCTCGCGGAACTGTGCTAGTCGATTAATACCCGTTGAGAAAGCCGTCCGGAGAGCGGTTCCTAGGTATGTATATGCCAAGTTTGGATTCAGTTGGTGCTGACAGACTTGTGACATGATGATTAAAGCCTGGATTGCTTCTAAGTCGTTCAACGATCCTGGCCTGCCCATCGTCAACTCGGCTCTTTCGAACAGCGTAAGAGTCCACGCATTCCTATCCATTCCGTTAATGGAGCCTTCGGTCCAAGTCCGGGTCAGCACACCAAGTGACAATACCGCAAAGTACAACGCCTTGAAGCTCTGGTGGATTGGTATTCCATGACCAGTCCAGAGCGAATGGCAACGCTCAAGGAACACGTTTTGATCGATAATGGGATACACGTAATGCAGGGTTTTAAAGTAGCTGTCAATAAAGAGTAACGCGTGGAGCGGATAGTAGTTCTCTTCGACCAAGTTCGGACTTTCTCGCAACTTCATGAAGGCTTCGTTTTGAAACTCGCTAATGACCTGTCGATTGGCAAACCCAGGAGCAGGATGCCTACCACATCCATTGTTTGAACTGCTTTCCTTCATCTTCACCAGGCGGTAAAGAAATGCTAGCGACGATGTTGGACCGTGGAACTCGAAACTCCTTGTCGAACCGTTGATGTCCATGACTTCATCGGGGCTATTTTCCGCGATGTCCTTGTTCTGATCGCCCGTGGGAGCCCCCGCCGCTGCTCTGGAGATAGAAGAGTCGCTTTGATTCTCCCCATGGATTGGGCGTGGTACGTTCTGAAGTGACGGCTGTGCTCCAGCCTCTGGCGCGGTGTTTCCGGTTGGTGTCAAGTCCGTTTCGTGTTGCTGTGAGGTTCCTAGAAGACGAAGTGCAGCCTTAGCCCGTTCGAGAGACTCCTCCAACTCCTTTACATATCTACCAAAGCCATAAGTGTTCCGTAATAATATAGAGCGCCGATATTCCTTACCGGATGGAATACTCGGAACGTCTCACAGTACCGTTCGGCTCCCTCTGGAAGATGCATTCTCGGCCCTGTCCTTTTGCCGCAATTTCGGTTAGGCGAGAGGAGTCTGATGGGACAGAGCCACTTACTTCGACAATGAGAACATGGAATATGCCCATCGCACTTGTACTTTTTCGCTCGACAGGTGTTACATGCCTGAGCTACGCGTGGGCGTCTCCCTCTCTCAACCGGCATATTTGTCTCCATGTCGTCTGCACTGAGAGACGGTCATGATTGAAACGGGAATTCTGCGGGTTTCCATGATGACATGCGTGAACCTAAGCAAGAGCACTTGGAGGATATTCGTCATAAGCTAATCTAATCGATCCCGTGTTTCCTCCAGAGTGATGTTTCCTACAAAGTGACGCGAGAGCATGGGAGATTGAGACAACAGGCACGTACCTTAGCATTTATGGTACCCCAGATGATTGGATAGTCTTGATACCTAAGCTCGTTCTGGCAATATTAGAGTAGTTACCACAAGCCCGTCCTGAATAAACTCCTGATACAGGCAAATGTTTGGTAAGGTGGTTGGTCTAACTTAGTTAAGTGAACCACGTTCCATTTAAATTTAGTAAACTCCAAAATCGAGTGCATAGGTGCCGAATTGCAACAGTCTCTTCCCTAGGTTGACAAGAGAAAGCTATATGCGCCCCTCAGCGGCTGTCCTGGTCTTAGATTGGTGGGGGGATTTAATCTTATCATGGAGCTGAGGCTCTTCATGGCCACTTCCCACCAATCTTTCAGCATCTGGGTTTCGTCTGGGTTTCGTCTGGGCGTTAATCAATAATTAGGGGCATGAGCTCGGGTTTTCCGAACCATCGCTTGAGAACGAGTAGTAATAATGCAATTGCCTTCGGTGTAGGCACATTATTTAGCAACATCGACTCTCTTTATGGGAGGCGAAAAGCTCAAGTTCTCCGCGCTTGGATGGACTCCTGGTGACGGGAGTCAATTCATCTAACTTCTATTTGGAAATTCCGAGTCTTTCTGTGTGTTTTCTTATTGCTTCATTTTGCGGATATGTTGTGATCGACTAATATAAATAGCATCGTATTGCTTACGTCTTGAGCTATGTCTTGCTTACTGCCTCCCTGGATCCCAAGTCACTCCATTTCGAGAGATCTAAGTTCTCCGAGAGATATTGATCTAAAGCGAAGACCGGACGACTAGCTTGGATTCATTGAGCTTCACTGTTTCCAACATGAAACCTCCCACTATGAAGACTGCGAAGTTCTCAATGCTTTTTGCGGGCATTGCTCGTGCCCACTTTGCTCCCAAAGAGCTCATCATTGATGGAAACAAGTAAGTGGCATCTAGTATTGGGGTTTACTCGATTATAATCTTCCGACGCTCTCCCAGATATCCAGCACGCGATGCCAGGTTAGATGACTACGTTGGTGCTATGCGTATCGAGTGGTCTTATACCGACAATCAGAATTTTACCTGGATGGCATTGAACGACGTGGAATCTCAAGGAATCGCTTGCGGCAATAATCCCGAAGCTCCACCACTCAAAGCGGTTGCGCGAGCAGGTGCAGATATTACAATCCAATGGACTGAAATGGTCGAGCATCACTGGGGACCATCGATGACGGTAAGCAGATTTGGAATATTACCTCTAGAGGACAAGTCTGGACAACTAATATGAATGCTTTCAGTACCTTGGAGCGTGGAGTCCAGGCCAGAGTCCGCAGAGTGTCGACTTCTTCAAGATCAATGACAAAGGCTACGATGCATCACAACGTGAGTGAAGCTTCTTCGGGTATGGACTCAGCAATGGAGCACTAACCTGTGGGATAGGTCTATGGGCAAATGAGTTGATTATCAACAACGGTTTCCGAGACCAGCTCAAACTTCCCAGCGATATCAAACCGGGATTGTACATTCTCCGGACGGAGCTCCTATCTCTCCATGGCAATGGGCAGACGATGAATCCAGGCCTGAAAGGTTTGCCGCAGTTCTATACGCATTGCTTCAATGTTGAAATCACCGGAAATGGTAGTGTGATCCCTCCAGGAGTACGTTTCCCGGGTGGATATGCGAAGAATGATCCAGGAGTCACATTCGTGCTTGGGACAACGTCTCGGTACCCATCATACGTGAGTATCCCCCAAATACCGCCTTAGAATGGACCGAACTCAAGATTCACTAGCCTGTACCCGGTCCACCTGTCTATGAAGGCGCATACGATCCGCCTGTCGGTCCGAAACCAGTCGTTACCCCTGAAGAGGTCGGTACTTTTCCACCGAACTTCGAACTACAGTATCAAGCGCTCCTCAAGCAAATCACTGCATTTTCAGATAAAGCGGTTGACTTCTTTAACGGGGGAGGGTTCTCTCTCACCTTCTTTTCTCGGCATGAGGCGGAAGGCAAAGAGCTGGTCAAGCAGCGGGCCGAATTGAGGCAAGAAGCGATCAAGCTGGGTCTCGCGGATCCGAACGAAGAGATGCAGAATTCGGAGATATTCTAAATGGCAGAAGCGATTCGGCCGCTAAGTTTTGAAAAAGGGGTATTGGAGATCCCTGGAGATGTACAGTCATGTAGTTAGTGTATCAAACTGCCGCAATTATATGAAGGTTGTGAGATTTTCCGCTCCCTTAGTCCTTTTCTCTAAGTTGGAACAACTTCAACGCCTAATTTGTTCTTTCTCTCATAGGTCTCGGCGTAGAGGATATTGGTCGCCTTCCAGATTGTCTTTACACATCATATGAAGAAGCCTACGATGCTCTTAGGAGCCATGGGATGCAGCATGGCTACGGCTTCCTACTCAAACGGACCAAACCTCACCCTTCTGATGCGAAGACACGATATTGCTACCACAGTCATCGATCTGGAAACTATCAGTCAAGAGCAAGGGTTCTAAGCACAAGCACACGCTGAATAGGGTGTGCTTTTAGGTTTGTTATATTCAAGAACAAAAGGAGGTTCTACACAAGCATCACAACCACCCCCCGATCACTTCACTCTAGTGCGCATAATGGCTACCGCAGGCATACATCAGCACAGAAAGGCATGATTGAATCAATGACATATGCCGGAGTACAGCCGATGCAGATAATGGCTGCCATTCAAAAGAAGGATCCGGACACGCTTGTCTCTGCCACCGATATTCGCAGCGAGGGGAAGGCAATTAGAGAGAAACACTTGAATGCGAGGAGTCCGATTGAGACATTACTAAGTGACCTGTCTACGCCGGAATGGGTCTTCGCTATCAAGAAGGATGCGGATCATCATCCTTGTCCCGGCCTCTTTGAGAAGGTAAACGGTCTTCCATGTCATCATACGCTGCGAGATGTGATGAATTATGGATCAACGTTACGACTAGATCACCTTTACGACGACCATTGGCGCTATCAGCATAAGAAAGGACGGTCAATAAGCCTCTCTCTAAGGCCATATCAATATATCCTGGAGCCGCTTCCTGCTCAAACAAGAGGTGTGCCGAGGAGGAACGAGGTATCAACTCGTCGAGATCCATCAGCCCTTGAACGACGTGTACCACCTTCTCTTCCTTAATCCAAAGACCAAACACTTGCTGAGGTCTTACAACACATAAACACCTCTGTCGCCGTGCCAATTCCTACATCTGCTCTACCTGCGAATGCTATAACTACTTCTATATCTGTGCCAATCCCTGCACCTGCTCCTATATCTTCCCCTGTCTCTGTTACTGTGTCTGCCACTATGGCTCGATCCCCTCCACAGTCTGCCTAGAAACCTCCGTCGTTGGAAGAGTTCTTTACTAACATCGAGCGTCGGCGGATTTAGCCTATTCTGCATGACTGCAGTGATTTTAGTAGAGTATAGTGACCAATTTTTTGGCAGAGACAGGGCAAGAAAAGGACCCCACAGAACTGATTAAAGCACGGAATATGCTCTCGCTACATGCGAGGTATATGCTTCCTGTACTCCAATAATGGCATGGAATTATGACTTTGGAGATATGGAAGCGTCTACGCTGAAAGATTTGCACAAGTCAAGGCTCAAAATGCTCTTCTTGAGTCTTAGGATGTGCGCGGAGAGCGCCCTAAGCGCGCTGCAGCAGAGACTGCATCAAATGTTTGGAAAGGACTCGGTCTGCGCAAGAGACAGCTACGTCAGTAGAAGATAGGCTTCATAATATGAGCAGCTATGAAGGTTCAAGGGCCGATTGCTAGAAGGCTTCCTGCAATAGTGAATAGTCCTTGGTAGTAACAATGAGGCCTCGCGAGGTCTTAAAAGGAGCTTCCGCAGATAATATCTTGAAAGGAGCTACAACAACTTTTTGAAGAATAAGAAGCCGTCTAATGAACATGATCTCGATACCCAGTTTATGTAATTATACCATGCTAGTAAGAATTGGGTTAGCGTTGGGGACAAATCTCACCAGCCTACCACAAATTTACCATTGCAAATCTTATAAAATAGCTCCAGGAACAGCCTGCTTTTGTAGGATTTCTGTTGAACTAACGGACGATAAGCTTCTCCGAACCAAACTCATCAAGATTTTGAGATAGCTCTAGAAAAGCAAGATTAGAATATAGAGTAACCACGGTCTTAAAGGCGTTCCTAACACTGCCATGTTCTTTCTTCTTAGTACAAAGGTATGCCAGACTATTCTGGAAACACAAACTTCCGCCAGGCCTTTCCAACAATTTCTGCTCTTGAGGATCGTCAATCTATCTGCGCTCTTTTGGAATCTAACGGTGTTTTCCCACTGTGTCGCTGCATTAATCATCTGATTGAGCGAAACCGCTATTTACAACTGTGAGCAAACGGTCTACCTATCCCTTCTGCCTCAGGCCGCAAGGCCATACCACACAGACTGGGCGAAGCCTTATCTCAGCTTGGGCTCAGGCGGTATCCAAGCCATGACCCTGGTTATGCTAAACCATAACCAGATTAGCCCCATGTTTAGCGTGAAATTCACTCAGCTGACTGCAACTGTCTTGGGTACCGTCTGAGAAACTCGTGCAAAACCTCAATAGACGGGTGCATGGCGAGATGTAGTAGAAATGACGAGATGGCGAATAACATCATACGGTAAAGTTGCGCGGGCTCCAAAAGTTGATGAAATATAGATAAGGGTTTGTTAAACCGTCCTATGGCTTTTAAATATCAATTTGCTAACTGTTTAATCTATAACTAGAGTTTTAAAACTACTTGTCGTGTCGTTATACGTGAAAGCTCAATCTCCAGATCTGCCTCCATGCGAGTGAAGCGACGGCAAGGTCGCTCTTATCAGCGTGAAACCTCCCTATACCAGAATCCAGCCTCTGTACAACCATTTCCTATCGAGAAAACAACTGAAGAACGGATATCCATAATTGCAACGACACCAGAGAAAGAGTTATGCTCGGTACTGCAAGATCTAGTCAAGACATGTCTGATACGAAAGAACATCAAATACCAGCATGATCTTACATTCCATGGTTTGCAGCGACTCCTGGGTGGCCGGCTCCCACGTATCAACCGGGTTCGGACTCTTCAACAAATTGTTTTTCGGCATGGGGATACTATTGTCTCTGCTCAGACTGGTTTTGGGAAGAGCATCATCTTTTATGCTATCCCAATCTTTATCGGCAAAATTGCCATCCAGTTGATCCCTTCAAGCAAGCTTGGAGAGGAGCAGAAGAGGTCAGGCCTTGCCTTGTTACAGCGGAGACCAAGCGCACGAATCCGAACCTGTTAAAGGAGATTGCAGCTGGATTATACACCCATATCTTGATGAGTCCTGAGCAAGCAGTTAGCGACGAGTTTCATGATTTGCTGTCAAACCCTAGTGTCAAGGACGTAGACACGTAGTGATGTTGTCTCGAATACGTGCATTGTACTACGTGTGAAAGATAATATTAGTACAAAGGAGGAAGATCCATCAAGCGGAGTCTTCCTGATAACTTTTACAAAGCACGTAGACGTTGGTCATGTGATGTCATGTGATATCATAACCGGCCAATGTCTGAACCGTGACGGACTGTAGAGTGGTTGGATTGGCCCTAAAACTTGATGAAATGTAGAAGTCAACGTGTAGAATCAATTTCTGATAACAGATTAGCGATAAACATTCAGTATCGAGTACGCTTAGCGATGGGAGTTCCCTCACCTATTTCATGATACGATCTTTCACGCATCCACATAAAGTCTGTAGGAGTCTCTCAGACGGCAGTCGTGCCTCCTGCCTTTATAGCATATGATTGGTCAATATTTAGTGGCGCATGCTAAAAAAGATGCTAGGCTTCAATGGGTATAGCGGAGCCTCATATTGGCCAGGGGGCACGATTGCCGGCTGAGTCCCAACTGAGATAAGCGAAGCCCAAGACTGTCACAAGAACTTGTAGTTACTTGGCGAGTGATTCACTTAAATGCCCATATGTCAGTAAATGTTCATTTAGGTGTAGTAATTGATTAAGATTTAATGATTAAGAATTCGAAGATAGGGCATTAGATTTGCATTGACTTTGCAGCTATAGCATTAGGAAGCACTCTGCGTATGGCTACAGGCAATCTAGGTTGTAGGGATCGGGGGACATTATAACAAGGTAGGACCTGTGCTCCGGTGGGGGATGAATTATGTACTGGGATCCTTTGTAGTAGTTAGGCTAAGTTAAGCTCTAATGGCACGGAACCGTTAGTTAAGTAGATTTTCTACTGATCTTGATTGAGATTTAAATATATCTAATTTATCTAGCTACAAGGAGCATCATGCTCTCGAGTCCCAAATATAATATAATCCCCGTACGGAGCACAATTCAGTATTATTGGGCTATAAGACACTTTTTCATGTGAAAATAAGAATGCATCTTCTTCATGTGAGAATGAGAATAAATATGTTATAAGATGGCTGGTACTCACTCTGACCTAGGGGGTAGACTTTTCTCTATTATGACTTAAGAGCCGTATCCTTAACTGATCGTTCATTGTTAAGTACTTGATATGCTGCTTCTTTCTTTTGTTCCTCTGGGACTTGCGTCCCTTTCTTTCGCGTTTCCAGTCACTGAAAAGGCTGACTTAAGCGTTCCTGGCGTGTATGTTACCGATACATACATAGACCATCTTGGAATTAAAAGGCAAAACAGTAAGGCCATCAGTTCGGAGCTCCACGATAGGCTCGTCTATTACTCTGAATGGGCTACGGCAGCATATTGTTCTCCGCAACAGGGCGAGACTGGGGGGAAAGTGTCCTGCCAAACTTCTAAGACATGTGGTCGTGTCGAGAAGTCTGACACAAAAATCTATAGCACGTGGCTCAAGTAAGTGGTCGCCCCAGTGAGTCTTAAAACTCTAACGTGCTGGTTTAGCATTGGCAACAATTCAGCCACCGGCTTTGTCGCCGCCGACCATACCACGAAGAACATTATCATCTCTATGCGCGGATCCGTAGCCTTGGCCAATTGGGTAGCCGACCTTAAATTTTTCCAAACGGAGTGTGTTGACGGATCAGTCGTCATAGGACCGGGCTTTTGCAATATTGGATTCTTGGGGTTCTGGCAGCAATCTAGGGAAGCCGCAGAGGAAGGTCTTGCGCAGGGATTGCAGGAAAACCCAAGTTATAATATCGTCATCACCGGCCATAGTCTGGGAGCAGCGGCTGCCGTGTATGGAGCCAGTTATCTCCGCCAGAATGCCCAGTATAAGGACAAGATAGTGGAGTCGGTATGATATCCCCCCCTTTCCCCTCTATAAGACCTTAAACTGACACCATATGTCTTAGTTTTCGTACGGGCAGCCTCGAGCTGGAGATGAAGCATTTTCAAAATTTGTCACTGCACAAGGGAATAATTATCGCGTCACCCACACTAGCGATGCCGTCCCAAAGCTGCCTCCAGAGAGTGGAATTCAGGGCACGCTTGGCTTTGAAACATACAGCCACATTGCTCCCGAGTACTACATTTCGGACGGCTTGGGCATGAACATCAACAATATTCACGTCATCGACAGCGGATCTAGCAACGAGGGTAACGCTGGTACAGGCCAGTTGAAGTTCAATATTGTTGCACACATCCAGTACTTCCAGAACAACATGTACTACTGCGTTTTACCCCTACCTGATCTAAGCAGTATAGGTATAGGTTATCCAGATGGGACGAAGAGGAGCATCGATACCCTCGATGCTAACAGGACCATCACAGATATCGATGATACTGTCAATAGGATCCTCGATGAGAGATTTGGACCGGACATATGGGGAACATCTTCTTTCGAGCCTTTTTTGCAGTAGTATCACCTACTGTGACAGTCTTGGGCTTTGCCCAGTCTGTGTGTTGTGACCTCGCGGCCTACCATAAGGCAGAAGGGAAAGATGTAAAATAGCAGATCGCAGTGAGAGAGGTCTTTTTCTTTTCTCTTTAGCAAATCCACAGCATTTCAGCTATATTAAATCCTTAGTGGTTTGAGCCTTCACGATTTGATTTTGCTCATTTCTTCCGAAGAAAGCTTGCTTATACTGATATCCAAAATGGCTTGAACGGATGGATGTACGTCGAAACTAGCAGTTGAGCGAATAATTTCCATCATTACTAGCGCAGGGGGAAAATCTCACGGGGGGGAGGGAAATCTCAAAAACGGGGGGGAAAGTGTCGCAAGATGCCCCTGTTGGTTTCTACTGCCCTAACTTTCCTTTCACTGCCCATTACCCCTAGGCTAGGCCTATTTCGGACAGCTTAGTGTTTTCCCTTGTATTTAGTTATCTTCAACTGTTTTGCTAGCTAGATCTCCTTTTTGGAGAGACAATGGGAATCGTCAAGGCCAACTTGCGTTGTGACTCTACAGCAACTGAGCTAAAGAAGCAAACGTGCTTAATCATCACCCACGCGTGATGCGACAGAAAGTCTCACCAGCCTTATGAAACCGTGTCTGATACCAAACTGTCTGTCGATGCATTTGATTGGATGTTGAAATACGGAATACGAGGTAAGTGGCTGGTCTGGAAACGGGATACCTTAGGCATCTTGTCGCACGTGATGTGCTAAAATGGTTCGGAGTGAGGTGCTGTTGTTACAGCAGCGAAGTTGTTTGTATTGTGTGTTGTGTGTAAGTTGTGTGTTCTAGCTGAATGCCTGGTCCCCCGGACCTACAGATATACGAGAGTCACGGCAAGATTATTAATGCAGTTTGTAGCCTTGGACTCCTAGAACTCATGCCTTGGCCTGCGACACATCTCTATCCTGAATGAAGCCGTTCATTGCCCAGACCTTGATAAATATACATCATTATTGGTTCCGCATGGTCTCATCATCTGCTCGTTGTTGAGTCTTTGGTTTCAAACTTTTTTGGATTTCCTGCCGTCCTTGATTATTATACCTGCTGCTCTCTTCCCTAAGCCTTTGATCCGTTCGCCAATTGCCCAGAATAGCAAATTGCTATTACATCGTACACATCTACATTCAACAGCAGTAGTTATTCCCATCCCAATTAGATAATAATCATCTCTCCAGCTCATCTATCCATAAAAATCCATACTATCAAACCCACCCCCCCTCTCCCAATGCACGTCCTCTGGTCCCTCATCCAACCCACCCTCTCCGCCCTCTCCCCCTCCCCCCTTCCCTTCTCCCTCCGCTGGCGCCTCCTCATCTTTCAACCTCTCACCGCCCTCATCTTCACCTTCAAAGCCCTCCCCTGGATCCTTACCCCCAACTCCTACTCCGTCCACCACCTCCCCACCCGCGCCAAACACTCCCTCCGCACCCTCGCTTTCCAGCCCCCATCCCGCCCCACCCCTGACTCCCGCCTTCGCCCCCTCGTCCTCCTCATCCACGGCGGCGGCTTCGTGGGCGGCCTCCCCGACATGCTCGCGGAGTTCGCGCAGACGATCGCAAGAAGGACCGGCGCTGTCGTTGTCGCGCCGACGTATCGCCTTGCGCCGCGGTGGAGGTTCCCCGCGGCGATTGACGATGTGGATGATGCGGTGAACTGGGTGGTGGAGAATGCAGAGAAGGAGTGGGGCGCGGATAGGAGGTGCATCACCGTGTGTGGGTTGTCGGCGGGAGGGAATTTGGCGTTCGCGACGAGTTTGGGGAGGAGGGAGGTGAAGGGGTTGGTGACGTTTTATGCGCCGGTAAGTCTGATTTTGCTTAATAGCTCCGTATCATGTTTGGTTGATGATTGGGTATAGGTAGATTTGCGGTTACATCCTAGGGCGAAGCCTCGCCCGGACAACTTTCCCAAAAGCGACCCCCTGGGCTTCTTGCAAGAGTTATATGATACGTATGCGTCTGATGCAAAAAAAGAGTGCCCCGAGGACCCGAGATGCAACCCGATTTTCGCGCCCCTGGACGACCTTCCGAGGAATATCTTGCTGCAAATACCGAAGATCGACATCCTTCTGCATGAGCAAACCGTCTTCGTGGAGCGCTTACGCAACGAGGCCCGGGGGAGAGGCGAGCTTTTAGAGGATGGAGAGGAGGATTTGGAGGGGAATAAGAGAAGGATCATGGCGAATTTCTATGAGAAAGGGTTTCATGGGTGGGTGGAGTTGTCAAAGACGATGGTGGATCAGGAGAGTTGGACGATGGCCACGGAGAGTTCGTTCGACTTCATTAATGAAGTCAATGGAGCGAATGGTTATGCTTTTTGAAGTGACAGGTTTGTCTTGGATGGCGATCGGAGTTCTCTGCTTTTCTGAACTGTGATCCTACCTCTTTCCTTATTGGCGATACGAACATAACCCCCTGTTTATAAGATAACCCCTCAGCTTTGAATGCTACTCTTCTCACACCACTCTTTACTTCACATTCATGCTCATCCCAGAGCTTCGATTATTCGAATCGATAGAGTCTTGAGTTGGATTGCTAGGCACTGTGTCCCCCCTCCTTCGACTGAAGCGCTAATATGAAACTGATGCTGAGAGCCTACCAAAAGACTGCCGACCACAAGCTAAGCTTAGCTGCGATGCTTGAACGAGTTTCTCCTTAAACGTCGCCTAGATATCTTGCATGGGCAGTGACGGCCGCAGGATGAGTGATCTCACTGATATCCGGCTTGCATTCCCGACCCTTCGAGAAGGATGGATGGAATAATCAGTGCCAGCGGCGGAGCGGCAACATGTTCGACATTGCTTGACGCCGAACTTCTGCGGTCCGATGGTTAGATCAACCAGCCACTCAATTCCATGTTACTTGACAGAGCGTAGCCGGCAGACAGTGTAGAGACTCATGTTCCCGTAGCAGATATAGTGGCACACCGATTTCCATCCTGCGGGCCCGTTCTCCATACGCATAGGAGCTTATCATAAAAGCTGGTGGAAACGAACTCCGCTCCTCCTTCTTCTTTCCAAAGATGGCCGTCGGCGCTCGGAATAGCTGCACTGGCATAGTTCATGCTCTTATGCTCCTCGAACCGTGCAAGGACATCGATGCTCCATATGTCATTTTCGAGTTTAATCTCAACGACACGGACACCGGCGTACATGCAGCTGACCAGAACCACCCACGAAACACGGTCATTCGAGGCGTCCATTGGGCGGTGTTGCGTGCGTGAAAGCTCTTGAAGCCTCCAGACTCCTCCTCCGAGGTCCAGTTCCGTGAGAACGGTGGGTCGGCCCACTGACGGCACGGAAACCGCTCGGATGTGATCATCGTAGCTCCCTGTTAACATGATGGATTTCGACAAGGGATAAATCACCGTGACTCCTGCTTGATGGATCCGTCTGTCCACTCGTTGTACCGGTGCGCCTACGCTGAATTTGTCTCCGTCGGAATGTGCGGCAAGGAAACCACTGCAGTCACTGACCCGAAACGTCGCATCATCTCCTCCTGATAGAACTGATATTCCGTCTATGGACGGCACGACGTACCATGCTTCGAGATCATGGTTACATATCGTCATGAGCTTCTCGGTGTCGCGATAGTCTACACTACGCGGTTCACTTTCCGGGCTGATCGCTGGACTTGAGAGATCGAGCACGCAAAGGATTATTTCTCCAGTCGACAATGCTGCACAGATGATGTTCGGATCTGTGTGGAATTGGAATGCGGTCACCAAGATGGTTGGTGGCGCAACTTGATGGAAGGTCTGTTCTTGAAAACGGGTTTCGGTTGATGATTTGGTGGTTTGACGTAGCTTATACGAGACGAGACTACCGGTTGATAGAGCGGCGACGAGGATGGGGTCTGACCCTTCAACACGATTCGACGACTCTTGGAAATGGAGGTCAAGAACGCTGGAGGTATTGAAGGCCACTCTTTCTAGATACTGTCTATTCGTAATAGTCAGTGTAAATGCCCAAGGATAGCAAGTGATATGAACCAAAAATTGGACTCCAAGAGACAATATTTCATTTCATGGATGGGTAGGGATATTCAATGCAGTTCATGACTTATAAAACATTACATACATATCGCCCTCAGACCCAATAATCTTCATGATATCTATGGCGCCCGATCGAACTTGCGCCTTTCCATGCTCTTCATTGTCTTCATCTTGCTTGTCGAGATGATAATATCCCACCACAAAATGGGTGGTATCCCAAAACTCCAAACAACATGGTTCGTAATCCAGAGTCACTCGGTTCAGTGTCTGAACTGAATACCTTACTGATGGCTCGGATTCTTCCATTGCGGCGTGCAAATAGAGGGAAATGTTGGTCGTTAATCGTAGCAGAATCCAGCCAAAGACGTAGCCAGAGTTGAGCTTCGGTGGGGACACCAACTAAAGGATTGGGTACATATGAGCAGGTCAGAAGCTACAGGTACTTATGCCCATTCGTCCTGGCGATGGTTCATAATATTCATGAAGTATGAAGATGAAGAGTTCAAGATGGAAGTACCATGCTGTAGCGTAGCAAAAGCAGTCTAACCCGTAATGGCAAAGCACACGTCATTCATACTTGAATTGGATTTTGATATTACAATATTCGATGGTGTGGTTTAATTAGCGCGTTTATTCCCTTACGACTTTTCCATCTTTGTTCTTTCCTCTAATCCGTAAACTCTCCCCATCTAATTACATATTTTCGAAAGAATTGCGAAATCTCCTCTCCGTCCACGTTCCCGCCCTTCGCCTCCTTCACCCTCCTCGCCTTTCCTTGTGCCTTTTCCCAACGGGCTCCTGTCACCGAATCGCTCCCCCTACTCGCTCGCGCATGACTGACACGACTCCTCTCCCACCTGCGACTAGCCTCTGCCGCAACAGAAGGGACAGAAGGGCCGGCCGCGGTGACCTCGAGGCATTTGAAGACCGGAAGAACGTGTCGATAAGCATCGTGTGCCAAAACCAAGCCGGCTTGGAGAGTAATCGGGATAATTATAGAGGGTGAGGTGAGCAGGGCGGCAGAGGTACCGGCCGTAACCAGTCTAAAAACTCCACAATCAAGGGTTCCTAGTTCGACGAAGGATGGAGGATAATATTTCTATTTCTATTTTCGCGCTTATTATAAATAGAGTCAACCAGAGTCTTATAAGACATTGCTTCAAATTTAGAGGGCGTACAGCGCCCGTTGGCCGCCGGAATGGAAAGGTAGTTGATGCTCGCTTTCGACACGGTGTTGTCGAATGGTCTTGGCGTTAGCTCCGCCCTACCTTTGCAGCCGACAGCTGCTCTCTAGCAGTGGACAGCAGCAAGGCAGGAGTGTTGATTGGCGAGCTTTGCAAATGGATTCGCTACTTGAGGATGAACCTCATCTGGGTACTTCGTACAGACATGAACTCACTCCCAGGCGTTCGCATGCCCACGTACAGAGCAACATGCGCCAGAAGAGAGCAACAACCGGCAGCTAACAAAACTTAACCTCGCGACTCCAAGCTCATGTCAGGCAGCACTCAACTCATTAGCGGTGTGTCCGCCAACCAGAATTCGCAGGTTGTAGCTGGCACTATCCATGGATCTGTGAACTTTGGGAGCAGCGAAAGTGAGAGTGCTTAGTTGGCTGTGGCCTCAAAGCAGCAGGAAGCTGACTGGCAATCTAGACTTGAACGATGTGCTCAGCTCCCTCCCCACCTCAGAGGACGCGCCGTTCAATACATACCAGCGACAACCCGACCCGGCCTGCCTTCCCGATGCCCGCGTTGATCTCCTTCAAAAGATCTACATCTGGGCTGATGGCCGAGACGAGCGCTGTATTTTCTGGCTGAACGGCTTGGCCGGCACGGGCAAGTCGACAATTGCGCGCACTGTCGCCCGCAGGCGCTTCGATGAGCAGCAACTCGGAGCCAGCTTCTTCTTCTCGCGTGGCGGTAGAGATGTCAACCATGCAGACAAGTTCATCACGAGCATTGCGTGGCAGCTGGCGAACAACATACCCTCTCTCCACCAGCACATTTGCGATGCCATCATAGAGCGCCGCGACATTGCGAGTCAGTCCCTCCGCGACATTGCGAGTCAGTCCCTCCGCGACATTGCGAGTCAGTCCCTCCGTGACCAGTGGCAGCAGCTTATCCTACGTCCACTATTAAAGCTAGGTGAAAACGGCGGCCAGTCCTCGTACACGTCGTTGATGCGCTCGATTAGTGCGACGGTGACAATAATATCCGGATTATCATACACCTCTTGGCTGAAGCTCGATTATTAAAGACGGTTCGACTACGAGTCTTGCTGACCAGCCGATCTGAGATTCCAATCCGATATGGATTCCGTCAGCTACCGAATGCGAATCTCCAGGATATTGTACTTCACGGCATATCACCCTCAATCGTAGATCACGATATCTCTGTTTTCTTCGAGTACAATCTTAAGCTCATTGGACAGGAGCACTCTCTGGATGACTCCTGGCCAGGCGAAGAGATTATCAGAAGCCTGATCCAGATTGCAGGGGGATTGTTCATTTGGGCCGCAACCGCTTGTCGGTTCATTCAAGAAGGTGTTTTCGCAGACGAAAGAGTGCAAACTTTGCTAGAAGGCAGTACCTATATTCCTGCACAGGAAGAGCATCCGGAAGTACAACTTAATAAGCTCTATACTACCGTCCTAAAGGAATCTATCTGGTCAGGTTACTCAGCAAAGGAGAAGGAAGCATTATATGGCATGCAAAAACACATTCTTGGAAGCATCGTGGTTCTCTTCTCCCCGCTCTCTACCAGCTCGCTTCACAGGCTGCTTAATATCACCAAGCAAAGGATCGATCAGGTGCTCAGGGAACTTCATGCGATTCTAGATGTCCCCAAGGTCGGCATATATCCACTTCGTCTGCATCACCCTTCGTTTCGCGACTTTCTCCTCGACAAAAAGAGATGCGGAGATACAAATTTCTGGGTAGACGAGAAGGAAGCTCACCATATGTTAACCAACAGCTGTATCCAGCTTATGTCGTCATCACTCAAGCAAGATATCTGTTACATGGATGCCCCCGGTATGCTTGTAGTCAATATCAAAAGAAGCCGAGTTGAACAATGTCTTCCTCCTGAAGTCCAGTACGCATGTCTTTACTGGATCCAGCACCTCCAGAAAAGCGGTGCTCGACTTTGCGACAATGATCAAGTACATCAATTCTTACAGGAGCATCTTCTTCACTGGCTCGAGGCCCTTGGATGGATGGGGAAGCTGTCGGAAGGAGCTCATGCTATCGCATCTTTAGAGCTGTTTACTTCCGTCAGTATGCCTCTAGTACGTCAAATACATTCGCTGACACCTCGGTTAGTTAAGTAATTGCCCTGGTATTTCAAGCTTCATCTATGATGCGAAGCGGTTCGTCCTCTATAATCGGCCAGCTATCGAGCAGGCTCCCTTTCAGACGTACTATAGTGCCCTCGTATTCGCACCGACAATAAGTATAATAAGAAAGCAGTTCGTAAACTATATACCTAGATAGATACGAAATTTGCCAATGGTCGAGGAGAAATGGAATGCGGTAATACAGACGCTCGAGGGCCATTCGAACGGGGTCAACGCCGTGGCCTTCGCGCCGGACGGCAAGACGCTGGCGTCGGAATCGTGGGACCGGACGGTCAAGCTGTGGGACGCCGGGTCGGGCGCGCTGCAGCAGACGCTCGAGGGCAATTCGAGCGGGGTCAACGCCGTGGCCTACGCACCGGACGGCAAGACGCTGGCGTCGGCATCGGGCGACGGGACGGTCAAGCTGTGGGACGCCGGGTCGGGCGCGCTGCAGCAGACACTCGATATTGTAAACATCGTCTACGCTCTCTCTTTCTCCAATGACGGTACCTCTCTCCAGACGGACCGTGGATCCTTACCTATTTTATCGCCTCTCTCTGATGGTATAGGTGTGACCAGTTTACAACATCCATCTTCTATCTTTGTCAATGACCACTGGGTGAGTAGCCATACAGAGCGGATTCTTTGGCTTCCTCCCGAGTATCGGCCACATTGCATTGCCGTGTATGGGGGTATTGTTGCTTTCGGATATATCTGGAAGAGTTATGACCATGGAATTTACTTTATGATATTTCCCTAAGCTTTATTTAACCTCCTCCCTGCCCACCTTCCTTACACATGGTGTCTTTTATATACTACATGAATAGCACGAGTGGCGGCAGCCGATGAGTAATGTTTGATTAGAAATCTAAAGGCTTTAAAGCCTGATTGGTGCTAGTTAACTATTATTGAGAGTGTTAAGAAATAGTGCCTGTCCCTAGGCGTCTCCACTGCTTGCTGCTCAGGCGTTGCTGCTGTGGCGTCAAGGTGTGGCGGAGGTTGTAAATACCGTATGATACGATAAAGACGTAATATCTGGCGACATTTCGAAACAAAGTTTGCGCTGCGCTTGGGCGGAAGCCAGTTTCGCTAGCGACGGCTCTCGACAGAGGAACAGGGCGTACCTACTAAAGCAGCTCAGAGCAGGGCACTCGTGGCTTGCATCTCATGCCAAAATCCCCGGCTTTCGAGATGGTGACCAATCCGAATGCGGAAGAGAGGCGGTGGTACACGTCCTGGTGGACTGTCCGAATCTCAGAAAGCTAAAACAACAGCTTCAGAAGAAGATGGGAGACGCTTTCAACAGTATCACCGGAATGCTTGGAGGGAGACCTAGGACCAAGAGAACCAAGGGATGGAAAGTTGACAGCGATGTGCTAGACGCAGTGCTTGATTTTGCGGAAGCATCTAAGAGATTCACATCAAGGGCTCCAGAGCGGCCTCAAATCAGGGGTCGCGGACATGGTGATCACCGTATTAGGCCTTAACGAGGCAAAAACTTCGTGCATGAAGCAGTATCGTGTAAATTAGCTCAGGAAGGACAGACCTGGGTAGTGGTAGCCTGCATATCCCATGGGAAAGGTCAGGGTAAATGAATCAACGACGACTACTGTACAGCGAAGCCCCGAAGAAAATGACCTTGAGAACTCCCGGTATTTTCCTGCACTTCTCAAGGTCAAGTTCCCTAAATCTTAAGATACGGAAGTATTATTATTGTCCATTTGTCCATTCATTCAAAAGTCTCTATTGCTATTAAATATCATGGTATCTCAAAGACGCGTGCTTCGCTATGTAACGCATCATGCCATGCCAATCATTCGTTGATGACCATTCGCCAGTTCAACCGGGCAATGCTCTTAATACGTCCTGGGTTCCAACAACGTTCGTCCCACTGGCTTCACATTTTCTCCAAACCCTTCGGTCCTCGAATGGATTTTTCGCCCTCGGAGCCAAGTCTCCTTCACGACGCCCTTCAACTTCAACCCTTCGTAAGGTGAGCATTTATTCCTGAAAAGCATCGTAGAATGCTCGACCTGCTCTCAGCGTTAACGTCCCGTCGATGCAATTAAGCTGCTATTGCGGCCAAAACTTACCGTGAATTCTCCACAATCGTCAAACACTGCGACGTCCCCGTCATATCCAACCGCCAGATCCCCCTTCTTCCCCAACAATCCCACCTGCTTCGCCGTGTTCCGACAACACCACTCCACCACATCCTCAATCCCGACGTCCCCGCCCCGCTTCTGCGCCTCCGTCCACAGGATCGGAAGACCCAGCCCCACGCTACTAATCCCGCCCCACGCCGCGAAAAAGTCGCCGCGATCCGCCACCTCCGCGCTTGCGTTGCCCTCCCGCACCACCGCTACCTCCGTCACGGCGTCTGCGTCCTCGGAACTGGCCGGGGACGGACTCTCACTGCCGGACACGCACCCTGACGCGCTATCGCTCGCGTCGCTGTCGTTGCCGCAACACCCTGACACCACGCACGCGGACCCGCCGGCCACGTTTGGCGGCAGGATCTTTAGGTTGGGTGTACAGGGCGAGTGGTCCGAGACGACGGTCTTGATGACGCCTTCCGCGGCGCTCCTCTGTAGCTCATCCCACAGGACGTCCTGGTTCGCCTGCTCGCGGATGGGCGGACAACACTTATGACGAGTGTCACCATCAGCGATCTCTTCGGCAGCGAGGCTGAGGTAGTGGAAACAAGTTTCGGCGGTGATGTTGATGCCGTCGGCGCGGGCGGCGCGGAGGATTGGGATGGCTTGGGTGGCGGAGAGGTGGACGATGTGGAGGGGGAGGTTGGGGGCGAGGTGGGCGAGGGAGACGATCTGTTCGATTGCGTAGGTTTCGAAGGAGGGGGGGCGGGAGTCGAGGAAGGTGCGGTAGGCAGTGAGGGAGCCGGTGGGGGCGAGGGGCGGGAGGGATTGTTGTACGTCGTCGCCGACGGAGGCGGTGACTGGGGGAATCATCTCGGCGTGGAACATGGCGGTGGTGGGTTGGTCGGCTAGCTCCTGGAAGGCTTTTGAGATGTCTTCGGCCGAGACGGCGGGGAATTCGGGGACCTGATATTGGGTTAGGAATCACGTGAGGCAAGACGAGGCGTGAGGAGGAATACTCACACCACTGTCTATTAAGAAGCCTTTGAAGCCTCGAACTCCGGCCTTCACGAGTGGAATAAGTTCCTTCTCATTGCCAGGGATGATACCTCCATAAAACCCAACATCGACCCAGCACTTCCCCTGCGCGGCATCGATCTTTTCCCGGAAGCCATCCACGGTCGTAGTGGGCGGGATAGCGTTGAGCGGCATGTCGACGACAGTGGTGACACCACCGAAGGCCGCGGCGCGAGTGCCATGCCAGAATCCTTCCCATTCCGTGCGGCCGGGCTCATTAAGATGGACGTGAGCATCGACAAGGCCGGGGATGAGGATGTGCGGAGAGTGGTCGACATATGGAGTGCCGGCGGGGAAATAGGTCGGAGGTAAGACGGAGTGGAAGATACTGGAGATTTTCCCGGTGGCAGTGCTGATGACAATGGTGGCCTCAGTTAAGCGGCCATCCACTACAGCCCGTGACGAAGCTAAGACTGTGACAGGGGAAACGGGTGGCGGTGATGATGATGGGATGTCCGAAGCGGTCTGGTAGGTAGTGGAAGCCATATTGAGGCTTATCGTCTTTTACGATTGGCTGAGAGCCTTGTGCAGTGTGCACAATAGGCCGAGAGCCAGTTGCGGAGAATAAATTGCCCTATAGAAATGCCCAAGGTCGGCAAGTAGGTGTATACGTGAATACTCAGAGCGGCAAGAAACGGACGAAGCTGATTTGCCGGCGAGCAACTGATAAGTAGACAAAGGATAGATAAGAGATGTCGCAGCTCGTGTCAGTCCAGACCGGTTAGTGAGCGAACAAGAAGACTCAGATATTGAACGAAAGAACCTGAAAGAACAGCGAGGGTAACTGTTGTAGAGATCGAAGAACAGCAGAAGGAAAGAAACGGGAAATCCGGGGTAAGTGGCGCTTCTTATCTACAAACTAGGGACTAAGCATGCATCTTGGTATACTACTTTAAACGGTCCTCCTCCTGAATCGGAGTGGGTCTGATCTATTTTGCAAAATGCAAGCAATAAGGAGAACGCCAGAGGATAGGTTCTAGGCCTGTATGTATGCTGTGTAGCCCTGCCGACAGGGCCGGCGATGCAGTGGGTTAGGTCTCGGACGTTCCAGAAGCATCCTAGTACAGGACAGGAGTTACTCGATGGAAATACTAGGATGGAATGCGACGTTGAGTTAAGCAGGAATGAAAGCAGAGACTAAGTTAGAGAGTATGACTAGTTGACTACAGTGGCTCTGCGGGCGTTGGTAGTAATACGGTGGGCTAGTCAGCTGAATAGGCGGGAGTGGATGAGGATGTTGAGACGAGATGACGAGAGCAAGTCCAACGTGGCGATAAGAGGCGATCCAGGATAATTCGGCTATTACCGTAGATTACAGTACGCTAAAATGGATGCGCACAGCGGGATTCGTTCTTTGTTAGCATTGTTTCATTCCGACGCCATCTTAATTGGCCACCCAACCGTTCGAATTAATTCTCTTTCGACAATCGATATTGAGACGAAATTCCTTGCCCCGCGCTCGCAACTGTGACACCACTTCAAGTCCCTTAAACGTCCCTGTTTGGTGTTCCTGACCCTTTACCATGATCCAAACTTCAAAAAGGGTCCAGCTGCCCAGGTTGTGCAGCATGATCCTGCGGAATGATGCGCTGTGCAAGGGGCTGATCCGATGCGAATTGCCCAGTCAAAATTGGCCTCAACCACGGTCGAGATTCGGCCGTCTCGGAGTGATCAGCTATGAATCAACATTCGGCACAGGCTCCTTGCTTCAGTTTGCTTGCAATTTGGGATCGGCCGCTGGTTGGGAAACGGGACGCCCAGTATTTTCTTAGGAGCGTCCCCGTCGACTAACTTGTTCCCATATTTGATATTACTCGATATGATCGAGCAAACGATTGCACTCTCGCAAGTCGCACCCGGTGCTGTTTCCGACATCACGAATTCCGGAAGATCTCCCGCCAACCCCCTGTTAGCCAATTGGGGTTCCATTTAATAACGACCAGATTTATCAGCGACTGTCGGAGGTGGCCGGCGGTGGGTTTGTTTGCCGGTATCCGTCAATACGAAACTCCCATCAATCACCTTGCTTATGGCTGTGCTGGCGCAGCTGGGCGGCATGTGAGATCACTGAGAGCAAGCCGTTACGAGATGCCGATATGCACCCTTCGAAGCGTGTCTAGCCGACATCGTCGACCCTGCGATTGGATCCGACGAAGTGTCTGGCCTCATGATTACTCGATTAGTGTGACATATGCCCATTTCTATCGAGTAATAGAAACTGAAAATCGCCTGGGCGCGAATCGTACGAAAATTCTTCTTGGCTTTTTTATGTTCGGAGATTTCAAGGGATATCTTAGGTAACGGCTTCGTTAAGTCCCGCTTGGTACCAGTAACCCTATGGATGTAGGAGAGGGGGAGGTCCAATATCCCCCATACCTGATGCTTCTGGTATCGATAATCTGAACGAGGCCTCGAAAGGTCAGCAAGGAGTGTAAGGCCTTATGATGCATTGCGAACCGTCACGAGGCTGCTTTGGGAAATCATGCGCTAGGTCAAATTGGGAATTTGATTAATTTCCATTATTACTACTAGCGTTGGGGACAAATCTCAGCCTTTTCACATATCAGCTTTCCTTAGCTGAACTCGTGGTATTCGTCCATAACTTCAGCAACAATGTCTTCCGGCGTTCCGCAGAAATCGACAACTTGGATCGACCATAATGTTAAACCAATGGACTGTGGTTTTCGATACGATGCTTTGTCACAGGAGAAGTCTTTTCGACTCCTCAAGTTGCTTCCGTCGTCCGATACCTCGTCTCCCATTATCTGCACCATGTCTGAGCAGCGCATAGACGACTCAATTAAGAAGTATACCGCGCTCTCTTACACATGGGGTAACATACAGGATAAAAAAGAAATCATCCTGAATGGCCGTCCGGCTCTTGTCACGCAGAACTTGCATATGGCGCTCCAACAAATTCGTCATATGCCTGGAATGCTTGGAGCTATCCTTCAACCCCTTTCCCTCTGGATTGATGCTCTCTGCATAAATCAACAGGATAAGAATGAAAAGGCTGTCCAGATTGGGTACATGCATCAGATATTCGCCAATGCTCAGTGGGTTGTAGCGTGGCTAGGGCCAGAAGGAGATGAAAGCGGGGCAATAATGGACGTAATCAACCAGGGAAACTCCATTGATGTGGGGTCTATTCCGGCTCCCGCTCTGCTGTCATTCTTAAGTCGATCATGGTGGACAAGGGCCTGGGTTCTGCAAGAGTGTATGGCAGCATCAGCAGCATCATTCATGTGGTTGGTTTGCGGATCGTCGTCCACCGCCTTTATACATGTTTTCGCCTTCATCAACGAGGTGTTAATGTACATTGATAGACAGTCGTACTCTATCGGGCGGACGACACTGCGAGAGGCGTTATCGTTCCGGTGGCACCTCTTCATGAACCTTGAAAGATACCAGAAAGAGCAAGGCATTCCCCTCTTCGACATTATAAAGCTTTCCAGCAAGTTAGAGGCTACAGATTCGAGAGACAAAATATTTGCACTCCTGGGCCTTGTCGATGGCCAAACGAAGTCCCAAATACGGCCGGACTATACCTTATCCCCCTGCGAGATCTTCTGCAAAGCGATCCGAGTCATGGCGAAGGATACGGAAAGGTCCTCCAATATTCTTAAGAAAATTAAGGACTTTGAAGATATTAGAAACAGAGGTCATCAGCCATTGATAGAAAACGTCCATGAGCGGCTGCAGTGTGATGGGGTTGCTTGCGCTTCTAAGTATCTATGCTTTGATCTACCCAACTGGGTTAGTGGTGATGTACCGGATCTCGTTGGTTATTTCATCATGGGTCTCCAAGATCCGAAGACAATATGAGATGATAACAAATGAGGCCGATCACCTACCCGCTGCAGTACACAGTTTATGTTGACATGGCTGTCTTCAACGACAAGCTATTGTCTTGTTTCCAACCTGTGTGGAACTTGATGCCTCAGGCATCAAGATCCTTTGATGTTTGCGTGCATCAGTAGCGGAACTTGCAGGGGCCAATCAACGGTGGATCAACGGTTGAATGGAATCAACGGTGGATGGATGGTTGAATCTTGGACGACGTATAGAA